ACTGGGACCACTCCGAACAGGCAATTCAGGGTTGATTGTGCCGCCCCAAAATCGTAGAAAAGCAAGACGATATTGTCCGCATAATCTAGATCAACTAATCTTTCACTAGACAGCACTTCAACGCCTACATCGGGAAAATCCGGAAGGAAACACTCCATGACAGAATCCACGACGAAATCGAACAAAGACGGAGGAATCGGGCAACCTTGACGAACGCCACTTGTGGTCGGAAAATTATCTGACAGGCCACTGTAGACCCTGACGCAGTCTGCAGTGTTCGAGTATAGAGTACGAAGCATGTTCACATATTTCGTGGGAACACATTTCCGCGCAAGTATTTCGAACAGAATCGATCAGTCGACTGAATCGAACGCACTCTTGAAATCAAGGAACAAAGCTATTGTCGGTCTACGGTATGCATGGCACTGTTATAAGGCCTACCGCAAAGTGGATATATGGTCTATACAGCCACGTACCGGGCGGAAACCGGCCTGCTCTTCCCTAATCCGAGATTCCCGTTCCGCCGTGAGGCGACGAACGAGAATCGAGGCCAGTAATTTTGTCACCACCGGCGTTACGTTAGACTAATACCCCTGCGGTCAGAACAGTCTGCGCGACTGCCCTTCTTGTATATTGCCACTATAATCGATTCGCTCCAATTAGCCAGGACAGTCTCTTCCTTCCAGATACGTTCGAATAGGGTGGTCAGTGCTTTGCAGAGGACCTCACCTGCATCCTTAAATAGTGCAGATGGGAGGGAATCCGGGCCAGCGGCACGAAAACGATTGAGGGCTGTGGTCGCGTTTCGGACCTCGGCCTCCGACGGAGGCTCTAAACTAACCATCCATAGCTCTTTCTGCATCAGCTGAGTAGGAAAAGGTCCGGGAGCAGGGGGCCAGCTGAACTGATCTTGAATGTGTTCCGCCCAACGAGACATACAGCGTTCCTTATTGTGTATCAGCGCACCCGCGCTGTCTCTGATTGTGTCACTGACGCCTGCTTTTCTGTGACCAGTGGTGCGATTTAGCTAGAAAAGCTTGCGGTAATTGCCTACTGCTCCTGCCTCCTCCAGTTCTTGGGCCCTACTGGTCCACCAGGCTTCCTTGTCAGTACGTAGGCTCCGTTTTAGTTCCCGTCTAATGGCCCGTCTGGTCACATTGTGTGTTAGAGCTAGCCGGGAGGTTTCTTCTAGATTCCAACAGGTTCATCGACCTCTCGGATATCCAGTGACTGGTGCGGTGACGATGGATAGTGCCACAAGCAGATGCTCCTGCGTCGTGCATGGTGGCGGAGATCCTATTCCACTGAAGCTCCGTGTCATTAGGACAAGATAGCGAAAGCCCGGTACGCAGTGCGTCTTGATAGGCTTGCGTGACCGAGGGCTGAGACAAGTTCTCAGTTGCCAACTGGCGCAGAGGCTTGGTGCGCCTCCCGGTAAAGTTCATCGAGAAACGACAGCGTACCAAAGCATGATCAGAGTTAACGCAGGTACTCCAGTACGAGCGGCAATCCAGGATGGAACCATGCCATCTATAACTTGTGGCTATGTGGTCAATTTGGGTCCACCGCTGGTCAGATACAGGAGGACGCCAAGTGGCACTTCGGCGCCCACTGTGTCTAAAAGCAGCGCTACTAAGAAACAACTGGTGTTCCGCACACAGTTGCAGCAGACGCTCACTGTTGTCAGTCCGTTCGGAGTTAAGCCCATAATTACCACCCAGCTGAGCTGCTGAAGAGCTCAGACGCCCTAATTGTGCGTTCACATCCCCTACAAGTACTATAATATCTGAACAAGTAGCACTACGTAGTAGCGCGTTAAGTTCGTGATAGAATGTGTCCTTGACAGCATTAGAACTGCAGTCGGTGGGAGCATAAACGGAAATCACAAATAAACAGCGTTTTGTACTACTTCGTTAATCCACCTTAGCTGATGTCGTCAAACGGGCTGCATACAAACGGCTGTTCAGCGGAATCCAACCAACCAATGCTGGTTCAGTCTTGGAGCTGAGAATGATACCTACACCAGCTTGACTCGTGAGTGCTGCATCGGCGTCTCTAGATGCATGCAAACAATAACAAGAGGACAAGCCGGGTGCAGTTAATTCAATAACCCCGTTAGGGTCATTGATCTTAGTGTCGGACATACAAAGCACATCAATACCCAGTGTGTCCAAGATGCGTGTGAGTGCAGCCTGTTGACCTGTTTGTCTTAGAGTGCGAAAGTTGAATTTCGCCGTGGAAACGGGATAGCGTGGCCTTATAAGGGACATTTGCCGATAGGCGTCCGATAGGTGCTGTGGGATGGTGGCTGCACTTCGGTCGCTGTCAAGTAAGCTGGGAATTATAGAGGGAAGGTTAGTAATGGAGGTCGGGATGGGAGTAAGAGAAAAAGGTGGAAAAGAAAGAAGGGAGGCGCCAGCAGTAGCATATTCTCGCTTATCCGCCCTGCTGTATGCAGCAGATAAGACGACCATTGATAATCTGCGCGACGGCCGATGCAGGATGAAGTTTATGTTTGAAGAAAATGTCATGGTTGTATGTGGGCTGAGATACTGCCAGGGCGCCAAGACCTAGACAGGAGGAGGATTAGGATCTACAAGCAAAGCCTTTGGCTCAAAAGCCTTCCCGCAAAGCAGAAGGGAGGTGGCAATGATTTAGTTTTACAGAAATGGACGCCATCCCACTTCAAGCCCCCAATCTGGAGGACCAGGAGACTGAGTTTGTCTGACCTCTCACCATTGACCAACCTGGTAGGAGTAGCCCTCAAGGTGCCCGGAGGTATCACCCAGTATAGCTCAATGGGTCAAGGAGGTACGCAAACCGTCGCACCACGTTAAGGTCCAGTCTCGTTGCGAAGGTATCCAGTCTTGTTGCGATGGATATTGACTTGGAAGTCGCTTTCGACTCTGTTGACCGCGCCAACTTGTGGCACTGCGTATCCATGAAAGACGTACCGGCTGCATTCACTTCTATTACGTAGTTTCTCTACCGTGATCCGCGAGGTCGTGAAAAGATACGCGGTAAACTGTCTCCTGAGTTCCACAAAACAATGTAGACTCGCTACGGTTCTCTAATTTCGCCTTTCCTCGTCAACCTTATGAGCGAAATGATCATGAAGGACTCGGTTCTTTCTGACTCTACCGGAGTGGAAGTTCTGCCAGGTGACCGACTGACAAAATTGGAGTATGCGGATGACAAAGCTCTCCTTGGGTCAGATGTAGTAACTACGTGAACACTATTGGATAGACTGGTGTGAAGCGTTGCAATTTTCGGCATGTGCTTTGCACCTTCAAAGTGCAAGTTACTGTTGCAGGACTAGACCAGCACACCACCGGTTCTAGCTGTCAGCGTAAAGACACTGGAATTGGTGGATCGGTTCATTCACCTTAGTCGCTGTGTCAGCTCTTGTCACATCACTGAGGAAGTCACTTCGCATATCAGCAAGGTCAGTGTGGTTTTCCAAAGAATCAATCACCAATGGAGACGGCGGGATATCCGTTTGTTAGTGAAAGGTAGGGTGTATATTGCTAAGGCCAGTGTTACTGTATGGATCGGAGACATGGCCAGTTCGCAATGAAAACATTAAACACTTAGCCGTGTTTGAGCACCGGTGGTTGCGAAGTATTGCTCAGGTTTGGTGAAAACACTGGGTGAGCAATACTGAGATCCGTCAGTTGGCCTATGACAAGAAGCCTTGTGGCGCATCACTCGAGTGTTTACTGAATCCCAATCGATTACGTTGGCCAGGTCATGTCCTCCGTATGCCCGTTGACCAGCTTCCTCGGCGTGTAGTATATGACGTGGTTGCACCAAGTTAGGCGAAAGCGCGAGGTGACAAGTCAATGATGTGGTATAGACATGAATAAATTGACTGAGACTTAATCAGGCCGGCGCGTGCCGTCTTCGTGTATGGGGCCGAGATGGACCACACCAATGGCTGGAGACCGTGTCAGACACGGCAGTCAGTGGCGTTCCTGCATTCGGTTTCTTGCATATGGCAGTTAATTTTCGTTCCATTCTGATTAAAGCACTTTCTCCTTGCTTCCATTTTCTTTAGCGTTGTTATTTGTTATTCTTGCGATGTGTAGTGGCAAGTGAATCCATTGCTGTTCGGTGCTCGAGATCAACTGAACTATTGACAAGGTGTAGACACCTTGACCCCGATAACTTTCTTATTTTATCTAGATTTAACATCAGATCGCCCATCACATCTTCCATTGTTTCGCATCAGTGGAGAACTTAGAATGGTATGGCAGCGAAACATGGGTAAGAATTACCGATGCACTGTTACAGTAACATTAGCTGTTACTGCTCCTTTGTGTCGGAAGGAAACGTGGAGTTGCAGGGGAACAGAAGCAAGGTAATGATGAGCACATTCGTGGACTTTCAAAAGGCGATGCTTGATCAATGTGGTACAACAGCATTTCACTTTTGACTGAATCTGACCCCGGCTGTGCTTGCCACTTATAAATAAATCCAAGCTGAAGCCTTCAATACGAGCCAAGGCGAGTGCTCTCCAAGACCTGAGTTTACGCCCCACATCGATGGGACACTGCTAAAGGATCCACTCGATCAATCCACCGAAGAATCAAAGTAAGTCCAAATGGGCCAACGGTGGAGAGATAATCTCGTGCTATAGCGCCCAGTGTCTGCAAGATTGCGTGCCACATAGTGAGATACCGGGGTATGCAAGTATTTTAAGCCGATATCCCGCTGCCACGCAACTGCTACTAACTATAAGCGAGCTGGTGCGATAGTTTTGGGGAGCCCAACTTTAGATAGGAACAGAGACTCAAGCCGAAAGTGCAGAGTTGAAATTATATGGCCGAATTGTTATATCCTAGCTGTGTGGAATTGCTAATAGAATTACTAGCCAGCGTCTACCTTGCGAGACTAGTCGGTGGCGGTCATACGCAGTGACCCAAAAGTCCGTTTCCTGGACATTTGGTTGTCAGTGAAACTATCCGCTTAAATAATGACCTTTTTTCTTCATGTTTTAGATGTCAAATATTCGCAAAACGCCCGGCAAGAAAGGTCCCAGATTCTTTGATCCCAAACCAGAGAAAGTGGGGAAAGCGTGTGTCGACTGGTTTGATAGTGATCAACTATTCGGTGTTGGAATAGAAGATTAGTGTTTGATGTGTCTGTTTCTATTTTTTATGTTTGATACAAAAATACAAGGTATCGAGTTGTAATGCATTCCTTTTTGAAGTCAGTGGGTCCTAGGAACAACAAACAAATCAAGGGATTTGAAGGTCAAACCAAATGGGGCAATGATCACTGAGAGAACCATTGATACCAGTTGCAAGCTCTTCGGGGATTAGGGGATGCCGGAGTCCATCTGTGATCACACCCGCGTCACCGGTATAACTGGCTCCAAGGAGGATGTCTGCTGAAGGGTTGACTACAGCAAGAGTTGGAGAAAGCCAAGCGTTGTCGTATGAGGTTACACAAAAGGTAGTAGCATTTTCCGAATTGTCCACTGGCTGTGGTGATTTCCCCGTGGTTGTTGACTGACTACCATTTAAGACGGGGAAAAAGCCGCGTTTGCGTAATGAATCGAACGCTAGAGAGTAAAATGAAATAAATTTTGATGAATGTTGTGAAACGTCAAAAGGTTGAGGAAAAAATGTAGAAATTTGAAACGATTATGAATTTCTTTATGTAACCTAACGTACATAAAAAAAATTTGACATTACTTTTGCCTGTGATTGGCAAGTTATGCAACTGATATTTTTAGTTTGCCATTAAATCAATTGATGTTTCAGTTGACTGAGTTTCCATTGCTTTCTGAGCTCTTTGGTTTCGCCGAATGTTGTGCATGTATTAACAATCGCAAAGCTTTCCACTTGGATTGCAAGATACCGTACATGAGACGCCCTGGACACTCCTCTTACACTGTACACTTTTAACACTGCACATTATACACTTGTTGACAATGGATTCATCTATTAACCTTCAGGATACTTCTCGCATCAGTCTATTCGAGGATAAAGCGGTGACTGTCGGCCGGTGGCCGAGTGGTCTGCGCACCTGGTTTGCAACCGATTCGAATCCGCGTAGGAGAGGGCGTCCTCGTGGTATACTCAGCCCGCGCTAGACTAATGGTGGTCGCGCGGCAGCGAAGCGTCGTTACGGCGTACAGCTGACACATTACTATTTTTATTAAAGCAGTGATTACCAGTACTGCTGTCGATATGGTTCGGCTAAGACCACCGTAGGCTCAGGTGTCTGGTGCACAAGAACTATTTACTCGCGCGAGAAAACAAGGCATTAGTAGCATGCCGTAGCGACGCTTCGTTGCCACGCAACCACTAGCACTCGCGCGTGGACTAAGGACACTGCGAGGGTCGCCCGGTCTACTGCGCATGCACGAACCCGCGACCTTCAGGTTACCAGGCGGACACCTTGTCTTTTCGGCCACAGACCGGTGAAGGGTAATAAAAGTGGAGTGCGCAAAAAGGCGCAGCAATGCGAGTCCGAACACAAGTTCGTATACTCTGATCAAAGTGCGCGCTTCTGAGTGGCCAAATGTAACGTCTAAATGAATGTGTTTCCTCCCTCTCAAAAGGAAGGGTTATTTTTATGTTAGCTCTATTCACGTCTGAGAATGGTTAGGATGGCAAATTCAAAACACACAGGTAGTGTTAGATCAGAGAATGTCTCTCGATTCACCGATATATTGAGACGCGCGATGACTATTCCAAGTAGGCAGGCAATAAATCATGATCAAAAGTAAAACTAACGCTCACGAATCGAGAATGTAAATGCAGACCGACCTACATAGCTAGCAGTATACTACCAAAAATGACTGAGAAGAGGGTCCAGTGGAAGCAGCAGTGACTTGAATGACCAAATCATGGAACGTTAAATGGTGGTCGGATCAAGGAGAACCACCAGCTGCAGCGGTCGATCACAGGTGAAATATACTGTATGTCGATAACGTGAAACAAATAGGATGGACGGCGAACGCAGAAGGGGATAAGTGCATCAGATTCTGCTATAATTATGTTTCCCGAGGGCAGAGAGATCATCCGACAAAAACGATGCGATGGATCGAAAATCTAGTGATGTATGGATGAAACAACACCGCCATTATGTTGGACAAATGATTTTCACAAATATTTGTGATATCTGGAAGATAAACGCAATAAAGAAACGAAAACGATATATTGAACTCTGGCAAAAAATGTGAGCATTACCTGGATGTTGTGGGTTCAAGTTGAAGTCCCCAAGAATGATAAGATGAGAGTTTTCTGAAAAAAGATGAAACATAAAGACAGTAGTTGTTAGACACATGACCACCATCATCAAAACAGCCGTATTTCGAAAAGCTGAGCTCATGCCTCACTGATATACAAGCATTATGACCGAGAAGAGGACGACAAGTGTGGGGGAAAGAAGAGGAACTACGTTGAAAACTTAAACGTCCAGAAAAAATGATCGCGATCAAAGCGCCTATACCATGCGAGCAACATACGACCACAAATCGAAGGCTATCGTGCGTAGAGAAGGCGGTATCGACGAGGCAGTTCCCTTGTGCCATTTAATGCCCGCGTCATAATCAGCCATTACCTCACAAATAGCTCAGCGCCAAACACACTTTACACATGAAATCCGATCAGGAAACAACAAACAAACCGCCACACTGTGCGTCGCATACACTCGAACTCGAGTTGGAGGAACATCAACCAGCTAATTCGTCAGTGACTTCATTTCCCGATACGGATTCGACGTCTTTCCCCTTGAGTTTTAAGCCATCTCACATCCGCCAATGATTAATGATGAACTAAGTAAGAGATTTGTTTGCCAAAGCCAAGCTATCGCTAGCGCACATTGTGGTCGCGGACACACTGGTGCCATCCGACACCAGCTATGCTCTGATAGTAACAATGACCACACAAGTCAAATTCTCAAACCGTTACTTAAACGTAAGACCGTCACTTCAAAGTTGGCCTCGGCTGGATCCTGTCGGATCCCTGTTTAATGCCACAAAGACGATGAACACGTTCGGTTGGATACACTTGTTGAGATGGCAAAGAACCGAGTTAAATAGCGTTAGTGATGCGTTTCGTTAACCATTCCCATGCTGATTAGCCTTCCCTTTCGACCATAATCTCGACTACTATGTATTACACAAAAAACACGAGAACATTGCATTGTTTTGCTTTTTCTCTTTCAAACAGCTATGAAAAATGATTTGTGTCGGGTGGTTGACAAGTCTTGTAGGATGAAAGAATGAATGCAAAATCGTAAGGAAAAAATGACAACAAAGAGGAAAAATTTTGGTTTTAGATGACTCAGTAAGCTATTCACATAAAGATAGATGCAGGCTCCCTCGCCGCTACATTAGGGAAAGGGCAAAGTGGGCACACTATCTGGCTCGTCTTCCGATTTAAATGGACTATATCATGTAGTGCAAATGCGATGTGTCGTCAAAGTGTCTTTCGAAAAACGTTACTGTATGGGCAAAAATTACGTCAGTTGAAATTGTGCTCCAGGTTCGGGACACCCGAATAAGGAAAATATTTGTCAGCAATCAAATCGGCTGTAGTGAGTGGCCACTCTGAACTGGTGGACTATGATGTAAGTATTGTGGCTGATTTACAGCATACTGTAACAGGCGTGGTTGTAATTCGCCATAATTAGGCAAAGCATGATAAAATGTTCTCTCATACGCCGATATTCACCACTGTACAAGGTAAAGGCTTGCAGCCTGCGTTGGTAGGGAAAGTGAAACAAGCCCTGACGATTTTGGTCGCTCTGGCTCGTTCAGTTAAAAGTGCGTCAACAACGTGTTTGCGCCAGGGACGACAGGCTTGGATACCATGTTCCACGTGAGGCCTTACGCAGACATACAACATTTGTGGGAAGGTGGATGGCTCGAACGTATTCCGTAGGAGACCAAGATGGTTAAAGGTTCTACGAGATGCATTTTCGACCTGTTTCGAGCAGCCAATGACATCTTTCGGAATTATTCAGAGAGTGCTTTCCTGAGTAATACGTTACAACTGCTGTTCTCGAAAACGATATTCAAAAGGTACGATAATGGTGCATGCCCAAGACTTTGAATTTCGCCACGTTAAACTTGGACCAGTTCTCGGACGAGTGCGTATGAGCCCGGTCGAGATCGTTTTGCAGGGCCGCGTGATCGTCCTATATCTTGACGTCATGGCTGGCTTGCCGAACAACCTCCTCGTGGTGCCAGCTGGGTGGTTCGGGTTTTTCCCGTTCCAGCGAATGGTTCGGCGGCAGTGTTCCAGGACGTGGTGGGTTTTCGCCTGGCAAGCGTTCTCCCTATAAAAAGCCACATATGTCCGTTTAACAACACTGCGACGTGGCGGATGTGACTCGCCACTAAATAAAGTCACTGCCCCTTGCCCCTCCCTGAGAGGCATTGTACTTTAAGGGTGAGTTGGGCCCCTGGTCCTTCACGGACCGAAAGGCGTATGAACCATCTACTTGGTCACCGGCTCCCAACGGGTTGCGACGCCCTCACATCGCCCTGCTGCCTTGTAGGTTAGATCTTTGATCAAAGGCTCGGGGTAGGGCCCCCTAAGACAACCCTCTACTTCGGCCTGGGCAACCGGGTAGTATCACGCCCGCTGACGAATCGTGGACTTCACCGCTCACTACTACTACTTGCTATGCCGCTCTTCTGTCTTAACTCAACCGCTCAACGTCCACTCACAGACCACCCCATCTCCCGTCCTTCATCTACATGTACTCTTATGTCTTCTACGGTCACCGTCACAAACGACCCACGTCTCGCAGCTGATGGAAGTAACAGCCAAACTCCCGGTTCTCCATGTCCTGCGATCGCAACCGCCTCTCACTCCACCGAAGCTCCAGCTCTTCTCCGACCTGGTTCTCCATTCATCCTCGCAGCGTTTAATGTTCGAACTTTGATGCAGATCGGACAACAAGCATGTCTGGCCCGTACTCTTGAAACGCTATCGGTAGACATCTGTTGTCTTTCAGAGACCAGATTACAAGACTCTAGCGCCGTCATCAGAATGGCCTCTCCGGTAAACTCTGACGCCAAATACTACTTGCGGCTTTCCGGAGACCCAGAATCTGCCGCCACTGGTCAAGCTGGTGTTGGGGTTGTATTAAGTGCCAGGGCTGAATCAGCTCTGCTTGACTGGATCCCAGTCAACAGCCGACTATGTGCAGTCAGACTAAGAGGTTCATGTAACGTAAGCAGGCGTCGAGATGTTAAGCGTGCCTTATTTGTCGTCTCCGCCTACGCCCCTACAGACTGCAGCCCGGATGCAGTTAAAGATAGCTTCTACCAACAACTACATGAACTTCTGCGTTCCTCCAAACGGACGGATATAGTCATTCTTGCCGGGGACTTTAACGCACGGGTTGGCCGCCTTCTACCAAGCGAGCACCACATTGGGGGTAGTTTTGGTCTCGGTGGCAGTCGATCAGACAATGGAGACAGACTACTTGCTCTTTGCTCTGATCATCGCTTGTTTCTTTCGAGCACTAGTTTTCGACACTCGAGGAGACAGACTGCTACCTGGCGCCCGCCCTCACAAACGCAAGAGTGCTCCCAGCTTGACCACATAGCAATCAGCTACAGATGGCGCGGAAGCGTAATGGACTTCCGATCGTACTGGTCAACTTTTCTGGACTCTGATCACGCATTGGTTCGTGCTAAGATTTGCATGCGTTTCGGAGGATCACCTAAGCGCGCCCACTACCGACCGGACGTCGCAAATCTACAAAACGCTGCGGTTTTAACCAGGTACCAAGCCTCACTGTCAACCTTGCTTGGCTCAACTATTGACGGTGATCTCGATTCGCAGTGGGCGCATATCAAAGATGCGTTAGTTTCCGCCAGTATCGACACTTGTGGAGTTACGCGTCACCCACCGAAACATTGGATTTCCGCCGACTCCTTGTCGCTGATGGACAGACGCCGCTTGATCCCATCGGATTCGAGACACGTTGAAGAACGCCAATACCTTGGTCGAGAGTTGCGCAGGAGTCTGCAAATGGACCGCGAAGCTTGGTGGTGTGAACGTGCTAGGGAGATGGAGCTTGCTAGTCTCTGTGGTAATACCAGGAAACTCTTCCATCTCCTTCGAGTCACCGAAGGTGTTCGATCTGGTATAAGTGAAACAATATGCGAAGAGGATGGCACCTTAATCACCAATCTTCAACGACGGTTGGAGCAATGGGCCGAACATTTTGGCTCGCAGTTTTGTTGGCCCCCAGCTCCATCTGCTACCTCTGGCGCTCGCGCTGGGGCCGAGTGGTCTACCCCAACAGACCCTCCCTCTTCCCAGGAAATTGAGCAGGAGCTCCGGCACCTGAAGCGTTATAAAGCTCCCGGCCCTGATGGTCTTCACCCAGCTCTATTTAAAGATGGTGGCGCATCGCTGGTCCGAGAACTCACCGTTTTGTTCTCGAAAATTTGGTCGAAAGAGAAGGTTCCATCATCTTGGGGTGAATCGATAGTCGTACCCATCTTCAAAAAGGGCCTGCGCACAATCTGCTCCAACTACAGAGGAATAAGTTTAGTCCCCGTCGTTTGCAAGCTGCTGGTGTCCATCATACTTCGCAGGCTATCCCCAACACGCGAATCGTTGCAGCGAGAAGAACAAGCTGGGTTTCGCCCTGGTCGCGGCTGCATCGATCAAATCTTCACACTTCGCCAGATCCTCGAGCTCCGCCATGTGTATCAGAGGCCAACGATTGCTGTGTTCCTGGATATCCGTGCTGCCTTCGATTCTGTCGATCGTACAGTACTGTGGCAGTGCCTTCTGAGGAACGGTGTCCCCGAGAAGTTCGTCTCCATACTGCGCGCTCTGTACAGTCTGACCTCGGGCAGGGTTAGGGCTTATGGCATGCTTTCGCCTACCTTTGTGGTCTCCAGTGGAGTTCGACAAGGATGCCCTATCTCTCCGTTCCTATTCAACTTTGCCATTGAGGATGTCCTGAAGAACGCTCTGAGCGATTCGTTGAACGCTGGCGTTGAGCTCCTCCCAGGTAGTCGAGTTGTTGATTTGGATTATGCTGATGATATCGTCTTGCTAGGTGACGATCCACAAGTCGTCCAACTTGCATTAAACCGCTTGACGATTGAAGCATCAAAGCATGGTATGTGCTTTTCGCCATCCAAATGCAAGGCTCTCCTTCAAGACTGGCAGGTGCCTCTGCCTGCACTCACGCTTGCTGGTGAGACACTGGAGGTTGTGGAGAGCTTTGTCTACTTGGGAAGTTGCATCACTGCTGGCGGGGC